TATATATATATATATATATATATTTATATATACTGGGAACGACCTGGTTTTTACTGCTGTGTACCATTATAGAGATATAGGTTATTTATGAAATATTTATTACTGAGTTGTTCATGGCCTTCAGGTACATATTTATCTATAATTAGATAAATATGCACATATTCTGTGTAAAATAAACACTTTTCAATTTTTTTTTTCATGGCCCTCTGGATTTGGGTCTACAATTTCGTCGGAAGAAACCTGATTTCTGCTCGCGACACGAATCCAGAGGGCTAAGTTTTTTCATAGCCATTTTTAGCCTCAGAACTTGGTTATGCCGTCTGACAGCGCCGTCATGCCGACGGTCTGCGTTTCTGTTTTTTTAACTTTGAGGTGCGACCAATTATCGTCCTCATTCACAACGGATTCGGCCCGGCATTGCTCAATACGTAATGGGGGTACGGCATATTATATATTTGTTGAATTGCGGGCGAAATACTACCCACCATTTCAGCAGAACGGAAAGGGTACTGTTTAGATAAAGTTTCAACATTAGTTTTTTAATGTTAAAAAAACTCGAGGCATGATAAAAGTTATAACAGTTTAACCTTGGAGCTTAGATTCGGGGTGAACAAACCGATTGTCATTGAATACAAAATATATTTTGTTGTGAAAAAATCTATATATTTGTGATTTTTTTATTTGTTTAAAAAAAAACATCTAATCATTTACAGTACAAAGTACAAACTGCAAAATATGTTAAAATTTAGAAGAAGGCTATGAAAATTCACTGTTCAGTGTTGATTGATGACTGTTGTGTGTTCAGTTTTGAGTGTTGAGACTTGAGTGTTGACTGTCACAATAATGTTATTGTGTCAGTCGTGTGGATTCTGGAGTGTGGACTCTGGAGTGTGGAGTCCGTGGCACTCTGTGGACTGTGAGTGGAGTGGAATCTCTAATTCTCTATACACTTAAACACTATACTCTATATAGTCTATACAATATACAGTCTACTATTTAGTATTTACTACTATGGTAGTTGGTAGAGAGTAGAGAGAGAGAGAGAGAGAATAGTCAATAGAGTATGTATTTACTATTTAGTATGCATTTAAATATTTAGAGACTCTCTGTCTCTCTCTCTCTCAATAATAGAGAGAATAAATACGGTTGTTTAATAATATTAAAAACTATAATAGGAAAAATATAAATATGTTTATGTATTTTTATTGTACATATATTTTAAAAAAGAAAGTATTTACTCACTGCTGCTGTTATTTTTAAACTGCTGGGGAGTGGGATATGGGGCACAAGGGCAGCTCTCTCTACTAGAGAGAGAGCTAGTAGAGAGAGTAGTAGGCCAAACAGAATATGATTATTTTTTAAAAGTAGTATTTATTTTTAAAAATAACAAACAAGTAGTAGCCCAGTGACTAAATACTCTCTCAGAGATGAAGAGTCAGCGTCTCAGACTCTCTCAGAGCGAGCCTTCGCCTTTCGGGCAAAAAAAATCTTTGTAGAAAAAAATACGATGTCATTTTATATATTATTGTTTTTTCTTCAGAATTTGGTTTCTGTACATATTCATGTTTCAACAAACCATACATATACCTGCTGGTCGCTGGCGCCTGGGGCCTGGGCCACAGGGGCCCGGGGACTAGGGCCTCTGTGACTCTGGCAGTATGGGAGACTGGGACTCTGGAGTCTGGGGGCTTTTGCATTCGAACTGCCTGTAAGGCTGTAACTCTGTATCGCAAGTCGCAACTCGCACAAGTCACAACGTGAGCCTGACGCCTGTGAGCCGCGGGCGTGAGGTTGTGAGCAAGACATTTTTTTATTACTGATGAAGGCTATGTACATCATGTATAAATTTGAAGTTTTTTCAATTTTGGCTGGTGAAGGATAGTATATCTTCTGATGACGAAAATTGAAACAACAGGTTGGACAACAAAGGCTGCGTGCATTGCAATCGTAGAAGTGCATGGTTACACACATAGAAGCGCTTGTTGTAGTCTAGTAGCATATAGTTCTGCGTGCGTGGAATAGTTCTTTTCCGAATGAATGGTAAGTCTAAAGTGCGTTATTAGGGATTGTGATAGACCACTTTACAGTTCTAAATGAGGTTAGGTTAAATCCTGACAGCTATTCCGACGACGTGGAACCTTCAATTCCACTCAATGCTAATACGTAAAACACGGCTTTTAGTATAAAATTGGTCAGTGAGCATCCTGTACTGGAAAAATGGAGAACCAATTCGAGAACCAGTATGTGGAACAGTTTGCAAATCTTCCTCTGTTGGTTCCTCCTGAAGCCTTCCCCGCCGAAGACTTTTCTGAAATAGAAAAGCTTAAACTCTTTGAAGTTAGAGGTAAGTTATACAGAATATCACATTCAACGCCTATGTGACAATAGGTTTAATTCGAAAAGTAAAGTTCTATGTCGGCTTGGTATAGATATAGGCATATCTATCGGTATGGACATAGCTATAGTTGTATGTAGTATAATATATATATAGGTATAGGTATAGGCAGAGATAAAAGTTAGGTAAAGGTATAGGTATAAGCATATATATAAAATTATATATATATATATATATATATTATATATATATATTTATGTATATATATATATATTA